CAACTGAACTAAAGTTCGGGGAAGTGCTACGGTCTTTGAGATTGGGACGCCTACCTAAACTGAGTAGTCTCAACAAAAGTTGCAGGCACATGCCACTTTTCAATGAACAGGTATGTCATTAAATTGTTTAATTTTTTCAATTTTCCAAGCCATCTTCATTATTTCTCTGAGTCGAAGAATAACTAAAAAAAGAGGCCTGCTAGGGGCACTGGCCTCCTGCACTCTCCGGCCTACACCTTCACCTTTATTGGGCCACGTTATTTTGGTTAGGAAGAGGTTGTACTTGAAAGCTTAAAATAAGCTTACGTGGCCCAATGAAAGGGGAAGTGTTGGCCGGAGAGTACAAGAGGCGAGTGCCCCTAGCACTGCTCACTAAAAAATAGAGTGATTGAATTTTAACTTGCTAGGTCTCACGTCTGATTAAAAGGCTGTACTACTACCATCGATAGGGAGTTCAATTATTATAATATTTCTCATTTTTAAAATTACTTTTTTGAGAGATATTCTTAAAATTAGTCAAATAAATGCAAAACAATTAATTTGTCTTATTAAATGATTAAATGCGCTAAGACATTTAATTCATCTCTCTCAACAGCAAGCTCATGTTATACTCTGCTTTGGGTCCATTCTCCTTGTATTTTTTTTTTTCATAAAAGAATAGTTTAATTTATTTGTCAATTACAATTTTTAACATAGTATTAAAGTTTTCTTTAAAACAAAAAAACTCTTCTTTTTCAATTTTGTCCCTATTAATGATTACTTTATTCTTAAAAAACACATTTAAACTTCCCAAGTACTCTTATTAATAAGGGTAAATATAAAATTTTAACTAATAATAAGAGTATTTTATAGATCTTTGTAATTTGTTTAATAATCATACAAAATAAAAGTGTGGTAAGTAAAATGGGCCAAAGGTAGTAGTTTATATTGAGTAATAATTTTTGACATAAAATTTTAGGACAAATTTTTGGGACCAATATTTCATCCAATAATTATGTTGGCTTATATGAAACTCATGATATAATCAATAAAAATAATTAGTATATTTTTTGATTTGATATATTTTTTAACACTAGTCTAGTTTAGTCATTAAAATATAATATAGATATAACTAGTTTAGTTGATTTTTATATATTATATGCATAACTATATCATTAAATTTATTTATTTTTAATTTTATATTATATTAAAAATAATAATTTTTTAATAAATATGTTGTGTACAATATATTGAATTGGAGAATTTACCAATTAGTATTCTATAATCAATGACCTATTATGAATTCATCCTAAATTTTGGTCTTAAAAATTGGCTCTAATTATGATTATTCTTTTATATTATTGATATTACTAATATTTCAAA